CCAGCCTCTGATCCAGATACCATACCATAAAATCTCTTAAAACATAAAAAGATAATAAGCAAATATCATAATCTATTTCAAAATAATTAATCATGACTACTCTTTGAACATAATCAAATAAAAATTTCATAAGAGAATAAACTTGCATAAATCACAATTCTGAACAAGTTATGTCAAATAGGTCTTATGATGCAGTTTTGAAAATGCTTTAACTCTACTTACTTGAATTTCAATCACCATTTTGCAAGCACAAACTAGCTGGTTGTGGGGAGCCTTCAATGTGCTAATTAACTTTTAAAAACTATAGCTTTCAAAAATCACATTCATATCATCATGTAACAAAACACATAATTGCACATTGTTATAAAAATATTCATAACAAATTCATCAAAACTCAAAATATTATGAGACCAGTGACAAATAAAAGTAGACTCAAAATCCTCTTTTTAGAGCTACTACATGATAGGTTTCAGATTTTTTAAGCTAACCAAAAACAACCTGAAATCCGGATTGAAGTATAATCTCGTCAGGAAAATGACAGTTTTTAGCTGAACTTATAAAATTCATAACTAAATGTAGAAAAATCCGTTTAAAGTGATTAAAAACTCACGTAAAGCTTGAGATGTATAATTTAATAGAAAAATATAAGATCAATCAAAATCATAAATATATATAGCACAAAAACAAAATCTATATAAGTTGTACAGAGAACTTATATTTGAATATTTCATCAAATACTTATCATACAGATCTTAATCTTCAAAGACCCACTCTCAAATACATGAATCATCATCCTAATAAGAGTTTATCTTCAAATAATCATCAATAATATCAAGCTAAAATCATCAATTTCACCCAGAAACTAATATTTGAACCAAAACCTCAAGAAACTCATTTTTTAAGGGTATACGACCGACATGCATGATAAACCACATCAAAAATCTGAATCTCAAATAGGATTTCAACATCTTAATCACTGAAATCTTAGTTTTTAATATAAGAAAGAAGTTACCTCAAAGAAAAACTCGTTCCCAAGTGGATAGAAGCTCAAAATCTTGATAGTTGTTTTTGGTTCTAGGTTGAAAAACGAGTTGAAATGTGGTGGTTGAGTTTTTAGTTCATTCTCTCTTAAAAACCTAGGTTTGATTCTTAGTTTTGGGTGAGAAAAGGAGTGAGAAGAGAGAAGAAAATGCTATGGTCAGAGTTCTAAGGAATTTTGCTGAAATATACCAAAAAATGAAGTCTAAACTTGATTGAAACCAAACAAAAGTAAAGTGACCTTATAGTAGGACAAGTGTCTAGCTTTTTCTAAGCCTCTAACAGCTGTCATAACCTCATAAAATCAGCTATAAAGTCTATTTTCTTTTTCAATTAGGTGCCTAAAGTTCACTCAAATTGCTAACATAGCCCCTTTCTCATAAAAACTCAAAATAACAATTTATATGATAAAATATAAAATAATAATCCATCTTTAAGTAGTGGTGCAAGTTCGGGCGGCAAGCATGCCCGGTGCCCGAAAATTTTTGGGCACGGCGGGCAGGTGCCATTCGCCGCCCATCCGAGGTATTTTTCAGGCACGGGCTCGGGCAGCCCAAAAACATTCATTCGCCGGCTGCCCGCCGCCATGGAGAAGTCGTCCCCCGCCGTCCGCCAGATTTTTTTTGAATTTTCTGGCGTAACCCGAATGTGCCCGAATTTTTTTGACCGCTGCCCGAATTTTGCCCGTTGCCCGTTGTCCGAAATGCCCGAATTTTTTTTACCGTTAGCCCGAAATCCGCCAGAATTTTGAATACAACAGATCTTTTTACCCGAACCCGACCCGCCGCCCAATTTTTGCCCAAAAATTCAAACCCCAACGGCTATATTTTTTACCGTTGCCCGACCTGCCCGACTCGACCCGAGTGCCCAAAAATTTTACTAGCCGTTAGACCCGAATTTTTGGGGGAAATTTTTTTTTTTTCAAGCCAAAAATTTTCCTATAAATACAAAAAATTTTTTCATAAAATCCCCCCCCCCCCCCCAACCATTTTTCTCACCCCAAAACTCTCATTCTCTCTCAATTTCTCTCAATCTCTCTTAATCTCTCTCAAATCTCTCTCAAATCTCTCTTAATCTCTCTCAAAGCGCTCTCAATCTCTCTTATTTTTCATAATGGCTTCTTCTTGGTATGGTGGTGGTATTCGCCTTGGTGCCCAATTCAACATCGAAGAAGGGCAATTTCCTAATGTTTTTCAAACGCAAGAATCGCAAACTACGGAAAGAGTTGCTGAGGAAACTGCAAATCCGATCCTTGGTGGACGTATTAGAGGTCGGGGACATAATGGTGGTGGCACTGGTGGCCGTGGAGGAAAGGCAAGCGGTAGTGCTAGTGCAAGTGTTGTAAGTTCTAAGAAGAATTGCAAGCGTACCTCAGCAGTTTGGGAGCACTTCAAGACATTTGAGGAGGTCGACAATAATGGTAACATTAAATACATAGCTCAATGTAAATATTGTGGTGAGAAATTACAAGGTAATACTATTCACGACACTACCCACTTAAGAAGACACTCTGAAAAGTGTCTTCAAAAGCAAGGAGGCGGAACTGATCTCCGCCAAATGCAATTATCGTTTGACCGTCAAACCGGCGGTCTAAGCACGTGGAAATACAATCCGTAAGTTGATCGTATGGAAATGGCATGATTAATAGCCACATTAGATCAACCACTAAGTTTTACTAAACAAAGAAATTGGCAGCATTATATTAAAATTGTACATAATCCTAATGCACACTTTTTTTCTAAAACTACTCTTAGAAAAGATGCATTAAAATTATATAAACAAGAAAAGGAAGCATTAATCAACCTTCTACACTCTACTAGTAGTTGCGTTGTGTTAACGGTAGATATTTGGTCCGCCGTTGCCAACAAAGATTATTTAGCTGTAACCGGACATTATTATAAAGGTTTTGATCTTGATAAGAGAATCTTAGGTTTCAAATGTGTTATAGGATCACATACTGCAAATTTAATATATAACATAATTTTATCTGTTATTGATGAATATAGTTTAAGAGATAGAATAATGACCATAACATTAGATAATACAACTGCAACTACTAAAGCAATAGAACTTTTTGAAAATGATTTAAGTTTATTCGGTAATAATGATATATTTCACTAACGTTGTGCATGTCATATAATTATTTTAATAGTAAAATCCAGTTTAAAATCAATGTCAGGTCATATTAAAAGAATTAGAGATAACATTGCTTGGATTCAAGGTAGTAATCAAAGAATACAAGATTGGTTTTAGATTTCTACAAGCATGTAATCAAAATCCTAAAGCATTAGCCTTAGATATGCCCATGTGATGGAACTCCAGTTATATAATGTTTGAACAATGCATCCCCTATAAATATGCTATAACAAATTATGTTAGTGCAAAATTAGGACCAGGATTTATAGATGAAACTGATTGGTAAGTTGCCGAACTCTTGTATAAATTTTTAGGTAGATTTCACGAAGTTACCTTAAAGCTTAGTGAAACTTATTACCCAACGTCACCATTAGCATTAGGAGAACTTTTAAGAATGTCTATTTTATTTAGTGAATTTATGACACACGAGGTTTTAGGAGTTCCTATCACCTCTATGGAAAAGAAGTTTAAGAAATATTGGTCTAAATTACCCGTGTTGTATGGTTTCGGTGTTATTTTCGACCCTAGATTAAAATTAGAAGGTTTAGAAAGTGGATTAGATAACTTAGGTGAATTTTTAGCTATCGACACTACTGACTAATTTCCTATTATAAAGGAAAAAATATTTTCTCTCTATATCTCTTACGAAAGTAGGCTTAGAAACACACCTCATGTTGAACAACCGCAACAACGAGATGCCAATCCACATTCATTCTTGAATGTTTTGGGTTGTCTAAGAAGAAGAAGAAGACGACGACTCAATATCAAGAAGAATCTGGGAGTGGATCTTCGTCAAGAGGTGGCGGCAACAGCGGCGGATTCAACGAGTTAATGACATACCTGAGTGAGGGCTTAGTTGTAGACAGTAGTGAAATGTTTGATTTAGTTCAGTGGTGCAGGGCACGAGCATTAACTTGGCCGATCCTAACACGACTAGTAATGGATATTTTTTCAATCCCGGTCTCCACTGTTGCAGCCGAACAAGCATTCAGTACAACTGGCCGAATACTTGAAGAACGGAGAAACGCATTGCAACATGGTATTGTTGAAGTTTTGGTGTGCATCAAGGATTGGGATCGTTCCGACCAATGCTTACACGATACAATCTCACCGGCAAGCCAAGAATGGATCGACGAGTTTAATAGACTAACTTTTACTTTTCAAGATGATTCTTCTGCTTCAAATTAAATTTTATTATTGTAATTTGTAAATATTTATTTACTTTGTAATTTCTAATTTGTATAGTGTTATTGTAATCTTGTATAGACTTTGTAAGTTCGTCAAATTTGTAATTCGTCCCACAATGATTGCACTCTTTTTTTCTTACCAAGTTTTTATCCCAATTGGATTTTTCTTAGTAAGGTTTTTAACGAGACAATCATGAATTATAAATTTAAAAATCAATGAATAAATAATTTTTTTTTATATAGTTCATGTGTTCATTTCAAATTTTAAATTGTAATATATATATAATATATATATACACATTATAATTATACAAATGCAATATAAAAATATAATATAAAAAAAAGTTTAAAAATTCAGGCATCCAGTCGGGCATCGGGCAGCCCGACCAGGCACGGGCAGCCACCTCCTGCCCGAAGCCCGTCCAAGGTGAAATTCGGGTCGGGTCGGACAGCCTGAATTTTCGGGCAGTTCAGGTTCGGTACTAGGCAAAAATTCAGACTTTTCGGTGGTCGCGGGCGGCCCGTCCAAAATTTCAGCACTGGCTATAAGTTTAATAAAATTATATGATAGCTATAATAATAAAATATAATGCCAACAAATAATCTTAAGATAAATAGTAAATGTGATGCATGATTTTAATTTATTAAATTTATTTATTATTGACTTAAAGACTTAATTAAATCTTGAATATTACAACTATTCCATTGTTTTCCACCAATTTTGCTTTCACTTAGTTGCTCCCCTCATATTAAAATTGGGACCTATTTATGTCATATTAGCATTCTACAGTTGATACACTTGGTAAATGTTTCCTTTGAAATAAGAAACTGCCTTATCATACAGCCAAAGACATCAAGAGAATGGAGGATATGATACTCCAATGCTCTTCACCAGTCTCGTTGCTGGTCGTTTTTATTGCAAGTCGGCTTGTGATCCAACTTCTATTTGGTACCCAAGTGAGGAAAAAGGCTGTGAAGATGTTAGCATCATTCTCAATGTGAGTCAGCAGACTGCGAATGAGACCAGTATTCCTTCACCAGCTTCGCGAAAAGTGAATCTTCTCTCTTCATTAATGTCATTGGTTCATCATACTCTACTACTTGTCCTGAAATAAAGTAAAAATTTGCTTAACAAACTCAAAAGATATATAAAGATGTAAGGAATGGTTTTACTGAACGCTTATGGTTTGTTTATATGAACATCAAGGCAATGAAATTTTACCATCGCTCATGGCAAGAACCATGGTGCAATCCATCACTGTAGGTATCCTGTGAGCTACTGTGATAACAGTGCAATCGGCAAATTCAGTTCTAATGGTTTTCTGCAGAATCATATCGGTTGCATTGTCGATGGATGCGGTTGCTTCATCAAGCACCAATATCCGACTTCTCCGCAAAAGAGCTCTTCCCAGACAGAACAATTGTCGCTGTCCCATACTCCAATTTGATCCATCATCCACAACTGAATAACAAAGCACGGTTTATTACTGGCCATCACAAGCAAATAAGCACTGCCAATTTTTAAAGTTGCAAAACATTACCAAAAGAGTCTAATCCCTCTTGCTTCTCCTGAACAGCTTCTCTAAGCTGACACTTTCCAAGAACCTGGAAAATCATGACATAAATTCATTAGCATCCAATTAGCCAAGAGTACTACTGTCAGAAGGCTTTTTGCGCAACTCATAAAATAAAAGAGTTTAACGAACGTTACCTCCCATATTTCTTGATCGGAATGTTGAGATAAGGGGTCCAAATTGTATCTCACAGTCCCATTGAAAAGAGTAGGATCTTGAGGTATGATTCCAAAACGTGACCTAAGATCATGAAGTCCAACTGTGGAGATATCAATGCCATCTACGATGATCTTCCCTCCGGTTGGCTCCACCAGACGAAACAAAGCCCCGATTAAAGTAGTCTTCCCACTGCCAGTCCGACCGACTATACCAATCTTGTGCCCTCCTGCAAATGTGCAACTGATCCCCCGAAGAACGAGCGGCGTATGCGGCCTATATCTGATCTGTTTTTTTTTTTTTTTTCACATCAATATTCTCAGTACATCTGCAATTCTTCTATCAATAGAGAGTGTGGGTGTGTGTGTGTGTGGTTTTTTTTTTTTTTTTAATCTCAAAAGTCAAAAGAGTACTTTACCTGCAAATCACGTATCTCAACTTTACCCACACTAGGCCAGCTGGCCGGGGGACGATTTTCTTCAATCACTTCAGGTGCTTCACTTGGTACGTACATGTATTGGTTAAGTCTTTCTACTGAAATGATGTAATTTGCTATAGTGCATTGGTTTTGAATAGAAAACACAAGGGACATGTTCAATGAAAGGCCATAAGAAAGTGCCATTCCAACGAACCCTGCAGTAACGGAAGTAATTCTCACATACATTAGACCATTTTTCACCAAATATATGCAAAACTATTTCTATGTAAACGGACGTACTAATTATAAGAAGATAGTTAAAGGGCACCAAGAAAGCGAAATCGTGAAATACTGACCCGAGCTAAACGTTTCAGGAGGAAGGAGGACCATGCACAATGCTGCAGAAGCAAGAACTGTTGCACTGAGTGTTTCTAACCGTTGGATTAGCCATTCATTTGCTGCAAAACTGTGAAAAAATGGACTGGCATTTACGTCGATGAGTTCTAGGTTCTTCATGAAGAACCTCTCCTCCTCCTCGAAGGCTCTAATCGTTGTCACTCCCGCCACAGACTCGGCAAGATGGTTCGCTACCAATGACTTTGTTGTACCGTTGATCCGCATTAGCTCTTTAGCAGTTTTAAAGTAATATTTCTGTTGATTAAAAGTAGTTATATCTATCAATCTTTCTTGTTTATGAGAAAAATAAACAAAACAGCAAAATCCCTTCCCCAAAAGAAGATGTTCTAGTAGTAAACCAAGACGAATGGCTTTCTTTCCTTTAAGAAGTGAATCATGAGACGACTATTTATTGCATTACCTGTAATCTAAATGCGAGATAAACTGTTGGTAATGAGACAAACAAGACTTGCCAGGTGATAACAGCTAGGACACCAAGATTTGCAACAGCATTTGTGGAAGCCCCAAGAGCAAACATTAAGCTAAATGGGATATCAAGATCAACTATACTGAGATCGACTGAAACCTATATAGGAACAAAGGAAAACACAAGTGTTAGTTTCAGAATCTTCTATCTGTAATCATATCTTGTGTTCCAGATTCTTACCCGGCTAAGTATCCTTCCCAAAGGTGTGGAGTCATAGAACGACATGGGTGCTCGAAAAAGGGAATTTAGTAGTTGCGAGAACAGAGACTTCGATGATGTAATACCCAAAACAACTACACCAAGGGATCTGAAAAACAAAAACATCACAGAGGAAAGTCCGATCACCAAGTAAACCACGATCAATCGCAGCATGCTGACATGAGGGTTGTCGACATTAGCAGCCATCCAAGAGTTCTGTAGTATCTGACCAATCACGAATATAAGGTGACACAGAGCGGCTATGGTGAAGTAGAAGTAGCCTTTGTTCTGATTCAGGTATTGCTTGTAAGGCTTGAACCCGATGTCTCCTACTTCTCTTTCTTCTTGCTTAATCAGTTGATCACCTTTAGGCGCTTTAAATTGATTATCTACGTAGCTCTTCTTAATCTCTTTACCAGGTGTTCCTTGTTTCTCAGTAGGACTTATGTTTGCAAGTCTTTCGGAACCAGCAGTCTCTTTGTGTGCATTCACGAGGTCCTGAAATTCTTGGCTTGAGGACAGTAACTGATGGTAGGGAGCTGCTTGTAAGATTTCCCCATCAGACATTAACTGTCACAAAATCAAATGTTAACCAAAGTTCTTATGTTGAACTGGCAAACATAATCACCAAAAACTAACCTATCCTATCATTTATAAAAATGTTGAGTTCCGCGTTGTGTTTTTAGGGATGCTACACATATTCCCTTTGTTTAACAACTCGTGTTAAGATAATAACATACATGCTGCAAATCGTGTTAAATACATTCCCCAGAAATCGTGTTAAAGTTATTCCTCCGGGAAGGACTTGACATGATTTGTAAAACATAAGGGCTAAGTACAATATTTTTGCAAACATAGGGTGTAGCGCAACATTTCGACAAAACATAAGGGATGTTTTTGTTATTATTTCTGAATAGTAACATAATTGGATAATATCAAGTTTTGTAGAAGCGGAAAAAGACTAACCAAGACACAGTCAAAGGCAGGCAGGAAATCAACTTGATGGGTCACAAGCAGGACAGCCTTCTCCGAAAGAGCTTCCATAACATATTCCTGCCAAAAAGTAAGAAGGTTTTCGCTTTAGGCTAGAAAGCAAGAACGTAGATACTGAAGTTGCAAGGTAAATATGATTACATTAAATAAGCTGGTAGCAGTGTGTGCATCAACGGCACTGAATGGATCATCCAAGATATAGATATCGGCATTCTGATAAAGTGCGCGAGCAAGTTGGATTCGCTGTTTCTGACCACCACTCAGGTTTACTCCTCGCTCCCCTATTTCAGTCAGGTCACCATAAGGGAGCAACTCAAAGTCCTTCACCAGTGAACATCTCTCGAGCGTTTCCCGGTATCTCTGACCATCCATATGGGAGCCAAACAAAATGTTGTCCTTTATTGTACCCGTCTGAATCCATGCTGTTTGAGAAACATAGGCAATCTTTCCATATACTTGAATCTGTAAAGCCAAATTTAGAAGCAAGATTACAATAACTATTAGTTTCTTTCACAAAGAAAAGATGAGATAGATAAAAGTGGTGAAGCAGGATAAGAAGATAATAACTAGTAGGTATAATAAAAAAATAAAAATAAAAAATAAAAAAAAGAACCTACATTTCCTTGAATAAGTGGAACTTCATGAAGAATTGCTGCAAGAAGGGTTGATTTCCCCGAGCCAACTTCTCCGCATACAGCGATTTTTTCTTTGGAGCCAACCTCTAAGTTTATGTTTCTCAAAGTTGGTTTTGCTAAATTCTCTTCCCATGAGAAATTAGCCGATTTAATAACAACGGCCTTGTTTGAACTCTGCAGGTTGCACTTTTGACGGATTCTTGCAGTCTGCAGCTCTGGTGCCTCAAGGAACTTTACAATACGTGTCAATGCAACGTTTGCTTGAATCACCACCGCAATAACATCAGGTATAGATCTAATGGGGTCCTGAACAAGCCGCAGAGTCGCCACAAAAGTGAAGACATTACTGGCATGAAGAGGAACTTTGAGAAAATAGCATGTTCCAAAGGTTGCAGCCGAGATTAAAACAGGTGATGACCAGAAGAGGAAGGTATAATACGCTTTTCGCAGCTGCACCGCCGATAACCATTTCTCCTCCACCTTCCTCAAAGTTTCTATAACATTCTTGAAATGAGTTTCCCACGCGTATAACTTAAGTACCTTCATGTTCACAAGAGCCTCTGCCGTAGCCTTTAGTCTTTCATCTTGTGCCGTCATAAGCTTAGTCTGAAACTTGTGCTGCAACTTAGCGAGCGGAGTGTTGCTAAGCACCGTTAGGAGTATCGCCACCAAGGCTGCTATTGTGGCCAGTCCGACCGCATGGAAAAGAATTACCAACGCAATGCAGAGTTGAAGGCTAGTCGTCCAAGTTTGATGGAACCAAAATGGGAATTCTCCAATTCTATAGGCATCCACAGTAACATAATTCATTATCTCTCCACTAGAGTGGTTCAACTTAGCAGCATTAGACAATCTCAATTGCTTCTTGTAAATGGCTGCAGTGAGCAAAGACCGAACTTTCAGACCAATAAGTCTGCTTCTGAAGTACCACTGTCTCTGTGCTATGGATTCGAGGTTTTTCGCGAAGAAAAGTGCAATGGCCAATACATAACCTTCATACTTAAAACTCTGCTTCCCCTCAGCAACCAAAATGAAGGCATTAAGGAGCAAAGGACCAGCAGAGAGAGTCAAAACCTTTAGTAAAGCAAAGAACCCGGATAAGAAAATATCTTTCCAGTGGCACAAAATTATTGACTTCAACATTGATGGCTGAGAAGAAGGATCCTTTTGTTTCTGTTTCTCCAACAGCTCCAAAAACGTCGTGTAACAACTTTCTGCTCTATCCGCTTCGCGCAGCCTCGGGATATCTTCATCCTCGAGTGTTTTCTCGCTACCTCTTTTCATCAACGGATTCAACCACCAAAATGACAGTTTGTTCAAAGATCCAGCTTTGGCAAACGGGGTAACGAAATCGCTTTTATCGTCGTGGCCATTAGCCTGGCCATTCAAAGGCGTGTAAAGACCATTGTGGCCCGTATTCTCATCACCAGTCTCTACATGTTTAGAATCCTTGTAAGCACATAAGAGTAACAAGATGGCCCCTGGTAGAGATAAAACATCTAGAGCTATCTTTATTGTTACTTGTTTGCTCAAAATCGCGGCGAACAAAGACAGAACACAGACAAATCCAGCAAACAAGGCTGCAAGAATGGACAACAGCAGGACCGACACTCTCGGAAGCTGCTTTGCCTTAATACTCACGGTTAAGCCCACAAACGACCAAGTGAAGCCTTGAAACAGTGTCAGCAGCCACCAGTTTAACGGCAAAGCTGTGTGGGATTTCCTCAGCTTCTCTTCCAAAATCCAGATTCCTTGGAACAAGTACACAATCCCGAGACAGCCGTTTACGACGGCGGAAACTACTTGTAAAGTAGAACAACCTTGAAACCGAGGTGGGATTTGAACAGATTTTGAGGATGATTTGTGGATTATGGTGAACAACAGCATGACCAAAAGCACAACATTGAAACAGATTATCAAAGCCTGGCTTGTGCATGATGAAGGATGGCTCAGAAATTCAGATAGTGAAAAACCAGATTCACCACAGAACATTGTCCACATATCCTCCATAATCGAAGCTGCATATTAAACAACAAACATTATACAACAAAGATGGTTTATATTCGTCTGTTAATCCTAAAAGAACCCAGAAATCATAATAAACTATAGAGTGGAAAATATAATATAATGAGAAGCCAAAAAATGAAACGTGAAATATTGTGATTTTGTACCTGAATTTGCCTAAGAACAGGAAGTCGCTCCTATTCTTAGGCCACAGCTAATATTAGTTTCTACGAAAAAGAGTCCAGTTTTCTTTTTCACTAATGTTTAAAGGCTTGAAATTACAAAAGCAAAACCGCCTTTTGCTAACAGTTTTTGGAGTACGTGTGAAAGAGATAGAGGTCAAGAAAACCGTCTCCATTATTTTAAGAAAATAGATAAATAAAATAAACCATAGGAAATAAAATAACTTAGATTATGTAGTTGAACATTAATTTTAAAATATATATATATATATAGCTTACCTCAAGATCCACACAGATATTAATAAATTTCTCGAAAGAATGACTCAGAAAATAAAATAACGTAAATTATGTAGTTGAACATTTACTCCCCAATATAAAAAATTCACATCAAGATCTCAGTAGCACCCAAAAAAAATAAAATAAAACCCCTCAAGATGCCACATGGATATTAATAAATTTCTCGAAAGAATGACGATGGCAATAAAAAAACGAATAATGAAAAAAAAAAAATAAGGAGAGAGGAAGAATTCAAACCAAATTAAACAACTAGAATATTGGATAACTATCACAGATAATAGACCACTATTTTTTAGCTTCATTTACTAACCTTATTATCTCACCAAAAAAAAAAAAAAGAGAGAAGGAAAACAAAAACAAGTTTTTCACTGACCGAGAATCGTGCGTGGCTCAAAGTCTTGCTTGGTAGCTCTCGTCTGGTCACCTTAATACTTAATAGTAAACGACGGACATGAACAATGTGATCACTGATCAGTTAATCAGTTGTAAATATTACTTATTTTTAATTAGTTTGTTATATACTTCGTGAAAGTCTTGCTTGGTAGCTCTCTCTCTCTCTCTCTCTCTCGTTTTTGTTCGGTGGTCGTCGGAGAGAGACCGATTTTGTGAGTCTTCGACGATAAGTTCAATTTATAGGAATCTCTGTGAGTGATTATAAATTTTTATTTATTTTTATTGAGATTATATGCAAATGTCGTCATGGCTCACGTTTTTGAGTTCTCTTAGGAACACATGTTACATTGTAACATGATTCGTCATATATATGTGTCCTTCTCGTCCTTTCTTACCTGCATGTTTCCTGCTTTAATAACCATATAAATATATAACTTTTCAGGAAAAAAAGAAAAAAGAAAAAAGGCAAGACGGTTTTTGGTCCATGACCAATTCTACTTGAAAGGAAAATGATTTGGCACTACTTTGTTGTGTGCCGGACGATTTCAGCCGACAGATTTACTTTCAAAGTGTTGGTCGAAAAAAAAACAAAAAAAAAAAACCGTTGGTTCAGTGATCAGGATCTTCAGGTTAAAATGTGTTTGGTATGAGGATTTGTGTCATGATTCGAATCATGAATCGTGACTTATTATAGTATTTTCTCTTACAAAAAACACACGTAAATCTAGAATAGTTCTGAATTATGATTCTGAATCTATTAACAAAACGTCCACTAAATCCTAATAATTTTTTTCTTTAACAAATAGGATAACTCGGTTTTCAATAATCAAATTTATATAAAAAACTATCTATTTACATGCTTTTTTAATCTAATCTAATTTAATTAAATTTAAAGTTACACTAAATCTAACATTTTATCAATATAGAGGCCCTAGTAGAGAAAAACCCAAAAGAAAACATTGGATTGTTTTAAAATATTTGTGGTAACTCAAAATCATTGGCGCCATTGATGATCGGGGGACCGTGATTTGTATTATTAACTAATTGTATATTGGATTCTGTAGTTATGATTGATATACGAGTAAAATATAACATTAAACAAAATGCTTAGAGCGGAAGCTCTAGTTGGAGATTACGTTTAACTTGTAACTCGTGAATCACCTTTGAACACAAAAGAGAAAACCCATTTGCGCGGTTAAAATCGTTTTCATAATGATCATTTTCTCTTCTTCTTTTTTTTTATTTTTTATTTTCTTGACCTTTTTTTTTTTTTTTTAAATTAACCAAACCTTCAATGGCGCCTCATTGCATTATTGCTGCTTATTTTTATAATAGTTTTGATGCACGTCCGTCGGACATGAGTGCAGTAATGAGTATAATCACATATTTTTTTAACATTGAATTAAAATAATATTAGTATTTATATTCTTTTCTTACTTTTGCAAATGATTTTATATTCTCTTTTTTTAACCTTTTTAGTAAAATAAATAAATTACATTTAATTCTTTATGTCAGAAAAAATTTCCTCATTTGAAACAAATAATTGGAAAAAGTTATTAGAATATATTGCATGCACATACATTATAAATTATGAGTGGGAAACTTTCATATCTATAGCTATAAAATGAGTTGAAGGTTAGTTGATGATATATCAATATGTTCAAAGAAATTTACAAATTTATGGTTTATTTATGAGAAAATTTGCTAAATAGTCATCTTTTGACTACCTTTTTTAATAAATGGCCAAACTTTTTATTTTTTTAAATAAATGGCCAAATTTTTTTATTTTAAAAAAATTATCGTTTCTCTAAAATAGTCTCAGTGATTGACCAGTCAACGAACTAAACACTTCTATGTTTACAACCCCAAAAGTACTCATCATGTACACTAAAATTTCTTCAGTTTATTGAAATAGTAAAACTTCCAACAACAAATTAAGATTTGCACAGTTATAACAGTTCAACTAATATAGGTTTTTTCGTATGAACGATGTTTTATGAATATAAAAGAGATTCCTTTCAAATAAAATATAAAAAAGATTACATGTGCCTGACTAATCCGGGTGCCGGAAATCCGGGTGCCGGACTTAAGATGATTCTGTATTATATATATGTGTATTATATAATTATATAAACATATATAGAAAGAAAGTAAATGCAAGGCGAAGTGGGATTTGATCTGCCAATACCGTTTCAATGAAATGTCGTTCTCCTTATAATTAATTTTTGATAAGAAATCTTATATGGTGGAAGAACTTATATGTGGACTTTTTAAAAAAAAATGTTTTGAGTGTATCAAAATCATATAAAAGAATATTATATATATTTATACAAATAGAACCATGGAAGAATTTTAAAGCGATGGATTTGGAATTATAATAACATTGTTTTGTAGTCTGAAGAATTATTTTTTCTTTTACAAATTATAATTTTTTGTCAGAAGTTTTGCAGAGTATACTCACGAAAGACCAATACATATAACTCTCAAAACTTGAGCATAAGAAGACACGTACGTACAAAATATATGATTTCCGAATAATGTACTTGACGTTGATCTTTCTGTTGGCCAGTGAAAAATGTGACCTGTAACATTGGCAGTGGTCACCATCAATAGGAAGTCAGTGACAATATTTGCATAATAATTTCATGATAACATCACTCTCTGCGTCATATATTGCAAGTCTAATTCATTGTCGACCACGAATTCTCTTCATTTTATGTGTTTCCCAATTGTTTGCACCTTTCTTTTGGACACATATAGTTGTAATGATATAAAGTGAGAAAATAGATATACATTGTCCTTGGACATATATGTATTAACCTTTTCTGGTTTTTTCATAGCCAGCTTGCATATTTCTTTTTCTGAGGCTTGGTAGAAGTCCCAATTCGAGCCAAAACAGAAATAGCATTTGCTACTATATTTGAAGAGAATATATTTGAATATAGAAAAATATTCAAATATATTTTTAGTGGAAGAATACATGAGTACTTAGTGGCAAAGTCAGATTTTTACTTTATTTGAAATAATATATTAAGGTCTCGTTTCATTTCACCGATTTAAATTTTCAGTTTTAGATTTTTATAGTAAAAAACTCTCAGAAAATGTCACATTTAACTTTTTTTGCTACAGTGAAAAGCTCTAAAAAAATATTACATCTCAGCTCGAATTGAAAACTCGAATCTGCGAAGTGAACGAGGCCTAAAAATTTTCTTCTACAATATAAAATTTTTTTAAAAAAAATACAAAGATATGGAGTTTATTGGAAGTGTACATTTAAAAATTCTGATCATCTTAAAAAGACGCAACTAGAAAGCACAATTTTTAAAGGTTATTTTGAAAAAAAAAAAAAAAAACCATGAGGGCGATCGCCTCAAGTGACTCCACCACTCGTAGTACTTCCAGAAAAAAAAAAAAAATATATATATATATATATATATGTGCATGTATATATAGTAGTAGTAGACAACTAATAATAGTACTACTAGTACTGGTCCTTGATAAACATAGAGCAGTCATAGAGCAGTAATTAGCGCTGATATTCCAGCTCCATTTTCAGAAGTTTTGAATCTCATTTCTTTGGACGTACCTTAGCGAGGGCAAGGCTTAATATAGCTAATAATGTATAAATGATATTAATTAAGAGAAGATACTGGATAATACTGGATCTGATGACTCTGGCGTTCCATTAAAATAATTAAATCAGTCTCTTAGATTATGCAAATTGGCAGAAGAAGTAGGAGCCAGGACGTGCTTCTTAGAGCGGTCATGAATATTAATTTAAATTATTATAGTTTGGTGAAAATTCTTGTAGTTTACCTTTGATGAATGTGATAATGTTTTACGTGCTCTTTTAATTACGTGTACGTACTGAAAATTTGTGTAGGTTCGCTGAACACACATTATTATAACCTATATATATATATATATATATTTATATACTTGACTTTTTTTCTTTTGGTCGATATATATACACTTGCGTCATCCATGATCTTTGTCCATATATGCATCTTAGAATATTTTATGGCAGAATAAAACAAAACAATACAACATTTGTTTTTAGTCCAACCAATGAAATATAATTTCCAAACAAATTACAGTCGTAAATGGCTACTCAAAAGAATCCAACCTGTCGATGGCAAAATCACGTACGCAAGAGAAACAAATCAACTTTAAGTTGTCTTTTTCAGAATTTTTTTTTTCTTTCGTTTGATTTGCTTAGATTTACATTTGCTCGTTTCACAACAACTCAGGAGGATTTTGTGTCCATGTGATTTTGCTCTTTTTTTTTAAATAAAGGAAAACAATTAAACAAAAGGAGGCCTTGATAATATGATATATATATATATATATATATATATATACGGGAGAAA